GGGGAAAGGATAGGTATCGATCTAGCGTTCCCAGCGCCACCAGCGTACGCTGGCGTACGCTAGCGTACGCTAGCGTACGCCAGCGTAGCGAGGGCACGGGATGTATAGGTATCGATCTAGCGCTACCAGCGTTTCACGAGCGTTTCACTAGCGTTTCGCTAGCGCTTGCAGCGGCAGGGCTAGAGAGTGTAGAAGAGTAGGAGAGTACAAAATACTCTCCTACTCTTCGATACTCTCTAGCGTAGGAGAGCATTTTGTACTCTCCTACTCTTCTATACTCTCTAGCGTAGGAGAGTATTTTGTACTCTCCTACTCTTCTATACTCTCTAGCCCCGCCGCTGCAAACGCTAGCGAAACGCTAGTGAAACGCTGGAAGCGCCGCAGCAAACTATAAACACAGCCTTATGAATCCAGAACAAGCTCGTCGAGCCGCCATAATGTTTTTGGTGCTGGCATTAGTCACCAATTTTGCGCCAAGATTTCATGTAAACTTGCATGCTAGAGTTCTATGGTGTTCTGATCATGAATTCACATCCGTCTCTGACGTCGGCGCCAGTTGTGCGCTACCACTTTTTTTACCAAAATCGATGGAAACTCGCAGAAGAGGGTTGTCTAATGCCCTCATCATAATTATGGAACTCATTTTTGACCCAAGCGCCATATAGTGCGCTGCTAAGGCTGATCGTGTGAGAGGAGTTACACCTAACTCATCATATTGAGCCTTGGTTAGTAGAGTGCGGACGGTCGTGCCTTACTTGGCGCTCGCGCCAAAAATGAATATCATATTCGTAATCAAGATGTCAAATAACAGTCTTCTCTGACTGGGTCACGAGGAACGAAAGCGGCCTAAGGCAGCGTTCAGACTTCGCGACGGCAGCGCTTCGGTCGCGCGTTCGACGCGATCGATGCAGTCGAAAGCATGCGCATCGATCGCGCCGAATGCGCGACCGAAGCGCTGCCGTCGCGAAGTCTGGAACGCTGCCTAAGGCTCCGTTCATACACTGCGTCTGCGACTGGGAGAGTATAGATATCGACCTAACGAATGCCAGCCTCTACCAGCGTCCGCCAACGTCCACCTGCGTTTGCCAACGTACAGGAGCTTTCCGGGAGTGGAGAGTATGGGGAACTAGGAGGTTAGCAGACACCTGGATTAGGCGGTGTACAACCGCACCGTGCAACTGCGGAAGCACAGAATTACAGCTGACTCGCTTCCTGGCCTGTCCACGGCTGTAGTAGGTGCCGCATGCGGTTGCACATCGCCCGACATTCCATGACGCAAACGTCCAGTTCGTCTTGTCACTCCTATACTCATGACGCCAAATCCTCACCTACCTACTTTGTCATACTTTTCATTCCTGGGCGGTGCTGGACGCTGGCGTTCGCTAGATCCACCCCCATACTTTCCTAGCACTGACGTTCGCTCGAAACATCGGTGGTTCTGCTGGGGCTGACGCAAAGCATGAACGCAACCCTACCCAGAAAATGAAAAATATCTAATCCTCACCTGGCATTACATTCCAGATTCGTCTCAGACCGTCATCCTTCGGCAGCAACGCAGCGTAAAATGGAATCAAGCTGAAGGCCTGTTTCTGCCTCATCACTTCAATCATACGCCCAATGAGATTCTTGCCATGACTCTCCTAAAATCTCCACCCAAGAGTGACGAATTATGTACGATGCGAGCGTCATTTGAATGGAACCTCAACAACTTACATCATGCTCATTCTTTAGAATACAGCACACACTTGTGACAAGACCAAAGAAACGGAATAGTGACTGCACTTTGGCTCCTTGTTTCTTTTCAATATCCACACTATAGGAATACATCCAATCCACCGCTTCTTCCCATGCACCTCTCATCAAGTAGCTCATTAGCACATAATATGGCGACGGTTCCGACTGAAAACTCTAGTATTACCGTAAATAAGGGCTTGAAAATAAAGCGCGTACCGTTGCTATTGCTTCAAATATCCCTTGAACTGTGGTGGGAGCAAAAATTGGATGTTCGATTCCAAGAGCAGCATTAAGTCTGAGACAACGACTTCTCAGAGTGGGATAATGAGTTGTACGCAATTAGCCTGCGTTCATACTTTGCGTTAGTGTCCACTAGCGTCACCCAGCGTCCACCAGCGTTGCGAGCCTCAATCAGTGAGGAAAGTGTAGACATAGATCTAGCGTCTGCCAGCGTCTACCAGCTTCCACCGGCGACTGAGAGTAGAGAGTATGCGGAAGTAGGAAAGAGCAAACAGGTGGATTAGGCGTCGTAAACTGCAGCGTGTGCAGTAGGACTGCATGATTCCGTGCTTTAGCAGCTGTACGATGCGGTTGCACACCCGCAATTTCATGACGCCTAATCCAGCTGCTTGCTACCCTCCTACTTCCCCCTACTCTACTCCCGTTCGCTGGTATTA